TTAGGTCTAAAAGGACCTGAGAAATCAGGCCAATGGGGAGGCACGTGGAAAGCAAGAAGAATGGTAGGAATGAGCCAAGGGTTTACAAGCAGAGCCAGGGTCTTCCCAGTAGAGGCAATAACTGAAGTCAGAGGGGGTGGTGACATGACATATTGGGGAAAGTACAGAGGAGAGAGAGCTGAAGAATGTTTAAAGTAAAACTAAACCAAAAATAACACCAACCAAACCATAAACCATACATTTCTAAAGGGTCCTTAAAAGATCAGAAAACAGATCTTAGGGTGGGTTCAAATTCTCAGAAATGAGAACTAGCTCATAGTTGAGCAGAAATAAAAGTGAAACATAAGCCCTTGCCACAGTGTTTTCAAATTAGTGATCATCCTATAGCTAACAACAAATAATAACATCGCTCTTCCATAGAGTACCAACAGCTATGCTAAATAAGAAGGACTAAGTAATAAAAAATTTAGCCATCCTAAAATGCTAGGAGAAGAATATTATGGGCCCACAAGGTGCATGCACACATAATGAATTCAGATGTACAAAATATCTTGCCTAACGATCGAGCAGAGGGAAGGAAATTAGTTGCTGTTGCCCGAGAACTTGGGATATGTGATTCTCTGAGTAAGGAACAGAAACAGACCAGTAGTTGTTTTCTTTTCAGTTTAATAACTGTATTAACCTGATCTGTGCTCTTATCAGCTCTAAGCAGAGAGGAGGCAGAGCTTTAACTTCACTGGGCTATAGAACAATAACCCATAATTCAGATGTTTCCGGAAGTGAGGTTGGTGATTACTGTCTGGCATTCAAACGTAAAATGAGGTTGAGCATCACTGTATGGTCAGCAATACCCTACTTGTGGAACCAGTGGACGTTCAAGTTGGAGGTGGGAGGACCTCCCCTCAGTGCAAGGTGGCCAGACCCAAGTAAGGGCATCAGCAGATAGGGGCAGCCCCGCCTGTGACCTTGGAGACTGAGCCGCACGGGGTGGGGGCGGGGGCAGGGGGTGGGTTTGCACAGGAGCATGGCCCACCCAGCTCGGAGCAATGCTGGAGCCCAAGCAGGCGTTAAATAATCAATTTGAAGATGTTTGCACTGCTTGGGGTCTATGTCAGAAGCTTTCTCTCTTTTATACTTTAATAAAACTACATTACACAAAAGCTCTGAGCGATCAAGCTTCGTCACTGGTCCCAGATTGAATTCTTCTCTGGAGGCAAGAATCCCAGTGTCTTCCGTGGTTCAGCAACAAACTTTCATCTTGGGGGCTCATCCGGGATTCTTCAGGACAAGGTAAGGATGCCTGGAGCTCTAGTTCTTTGTTCCCCTAACAGACCTGTTTTCTGCTGTACTTCACTAACCCTGCAGTGTGCTTGTGTGAATGAATGACATGCCCTGCATGAAGCAGGTGAGGAGCCCTGCTCTGCCGTTCTGCAGGGACCGCATATGGCTTATGGCGGAAACCCTGTCAGGGGTTTACACCGACCTCCCAATAGACTTCCCTGGTGGCTCAGATGGTAAAGCATCTGCCTGCAATGCGGGAGACCTGGGTTCAGTCCCTAGGTTGGGAAGATCTCCTGGAGAAGGAAATGGCAACCCACTGCAGTATTCTTGCCTGGAAAATACCATGGACAGAGGAAACTGGTAGGCTACAGTCCATGGGGTCACAAAGAGTCGGACACGACTGAGCGACTTCACTTTCACTTGCGCTGTTTGGTATCAATCTCTTCCTGTCTCCAGGTACCTCCTCCAGGCCCGTGGTGTGTGTGTGTGTGTGTGTGTGGTGTTGCTCAAGTTGTGTGTTTCTCCTGCCCTGGAGGATAGGGGGGTCAAATCCACATATTTTCAAGTCCATCAAGAGCAAACCTCTTTCTTATCCATTCCTCTTCCCTGAGATTAAAATATGTTTAGGTCTTTCCTATGTTCTTGCCTGGAAAGTCCCATGGACAGAGGAGCCTGGTTGGCTAGAGTCCATGGGGCCACAAAGAGTCAGACACGACTGAAGCAACTTAGCATTCATGCATTCAGGTCATTTGTGGATTATGTCTAATAAGAGTTTAAATTATACAGGGCTGGCCAAAAATTTCATTTGGGTTTTTCTATACCAGTTTATGGAAATACCCAAACTTTCTGGCCAACCCAATACTACTCTTCTCATTTCAGATGTAACCTAACAGCGACATGAGCTGAACTAGTTTTAAGATGCCCCATGAAGTCAGCATTAACCATAAATAAGTGCCATTTTCAGCTTTAGCAGTCTGAGGCAGGCACAGTTAGCTGCCTCACCCACTGGACTCTAGGAGCTCACTGATCTTATTCGGGTCATGTCACCCTTCAGTGATGTCTGTATGTGTTCGTCTCTGCCCTGAGGGATAGGAGCTGCTTAACCAGGGGCTCTGTGTTTCAAACCATGGCGTCAAGGCCTGGAACATAGTGTTCAAAGTGTGCTAACTTAACACAAGTCTACAGCAAGCGAAATGCACAGCAGACTCGTACATAGCATTGTTTTTGAGATTTTAGACAGTGATGCTCAAACTCTAGGTATGCTTTCATAATGATGAAATCCAAGAGGTTCTTTCTAAATTACAACAATAGGTTAAAGGCATCTTTTAAGCTTTTCAGTTTAAAAATGTTGGCCATTAGACCCCCTTTTAAGAAACATACAATTTCCATTTTTCTTGTTCTACCAATTTATTTCTGTTTGTTGCCAAGTCCTACATCAAAGAATGCTTTTCTCCTGCGTTACTCATACATAACTGGAATAAGAGAGTAGTCTTAAATTGAACAGTCTACCAAACAGACTTGCAAACCGTGTGGATATGTATTATCAGGTTTCATTCTGTGCATTTGTGACATGAACTTTTAAAAACCCATCACACATTTATAGCTTGGGATGTAAACTGAAGGAATCGATTCTACAAAATCAATGAAATAAAAAGCTCCAAGTGATTACTTTTACAGTTGACAGTTTGAAAGAAGAAAACTTTCCACTGTCCGTGCACACATCAAATCGCACTTGAAAGCCCTGGGCAGCCCACGTGGAAAAGAGAAAGGGGAACATGATCAGCAAGGTTTGCGTCATGAACCTCATAGCCACCAGAATCAGTATTCCTCTCAACAAAGGAGGCTGGGACAACTGGATATCCACAGGCAAACTATGTTCCCTCTGTATCAACTTCGTTGAGTTTCTATCATGAATTGGATTTTTGCTGAAAGTTTCTTCAGCATCTATTAAGATGATTGTGTGATTTTTTATCCTTCATTTTGTTACTATGTTGTAGCATGTTGATTAATTTGCAGACTAAGTCATCACTGCATCCCTGGAAAAAAAAATCTCCCTTGATCATGATGTATGATCCTTTCAATGTATTGCTGGATTTGGCTGGCTAATATTTTGTCAAGGATTTTCACATTGATGTTCATCTGGGATATTGCCTGTAACTTTCTTCTTTTGTAGGGTCTTTGTCCTGTTATGGTTTCAAGGTGATGATGGCCTTATAGAATGACTGTGGAAATGTTCCCTCCTTTTCAATTTATGAAATAGTTTGAGAAGGCGAGGTATTAACTCTTCTTTAAGTGTTTGGTAGAGTTCCCCTATGAAGCCATCTGATCCTGTTCTTTCATTTGTGGAAAGTGTTTTGAATAATGATTCAATTTCATTTCTAGTAATTGGCCTGTTTAGATTTTCTATTTCTTCCTGATTCAGCCTTGGAAGATTATATGCTTCTAGGAATTTAGTCATTTCTTTTAGGTCGTTCAATTTATTGGCATGTAACTGTTCATAGTATACTCATAGGATTGTATTTCTATGATATTGGTTGTAACTTCTCTTTCATTTCTAGTTTTATTTATTTGGGCCCTTCTTTCTTTCTTGATGAGTCTGGGTTAAGGTTTTTCAATTTTATCTTTGAAGAGCATTTCACTGATCTTTTCTCTTATTGGTGGTGGTTGCTCATCCTATTTTATTTCCTTTCTTCTGCTGACTTTGCACTCTGCTTGCTTTCTCTAATTCCCTCAGGTGGAAATTTAGGTGATTATTTGGGATTTTTCTTATTTCTTGAGTAGGTTTGTATTGTTATTAACCTTCCTCTTAGAATTGCTTTTGTTGTGTCCCATAGATTTTGGAAAGTTACATTTCTATTTTCATTTGTCTCAATGTATTTTTAAAGTTTTCTCTTTGATTTCTTTGATGATCATAGGATTTCTAGTAGCGTGTTGGTTAGTCTCCACATGTTTGGGTTTTTTCCCAATTTTCTTCCTGTAATTAATTTCTAGTTTCATACCTTGAGTCAGAAAATGAAATGATAGAATTTCAATTTTCTCAAATTTATTGAGGCTTCCTTAGTGGCCTGGCAGGTGATTTGGAAAAAGTTCCTGTGCACTTCAAGACTGTTTATTGTGTTGGGGGATGGAATGTTCTGTAACTGTGAATTCTGAATGGCTGAACATGTCACTTAAGGCCGTTCTCCTTACTGATTTTCTGTCTCATCTATCCACATTCATTAATGCAATTGGAGTAGTAAAGTCCTCTACTATTAATGCAATACTACCAATCAGTTCTAATTTTTCTTTTATTTTCTAATTGTTGCTGCATTTTTCACTGTATTTCTCTATTCTTTCTTCACATTCAGTGAGCAATGCTTTGAACTCTTTTTCAGGTCAATCAATTATCGCTATTTCATTAGGGTTTTTTTCCTGGGGTTTTATTTAGGCCAGGCCTTTTCTAGGATGTGTTGGGATTGTCACTTTGGTGATGTGGGTTGGAGTCAGGTGTGGTGGCCACAGCCAGTATCAGGTATGAGCTATGGCTGCTTCTGGGGGTGCTAGAGGTCAGCTATGAAGGTGGGGGCGGGGCTGAAGCTGGAGGAGTGGGGGCCACAGTCCAGCGTGAGCCGCAGGTTCTCTCCTGGGGTGCGTTGGCAGCTAGAGCCCCGTGTAGGCTGTGGGGTATGCTATAGTGGTCTCAGTACGGTGGTCCAGAGCACCAGCAGCTTTTCAGATGGATGCCTCTGTGCTGGGACCAGCAGCAAGCAAATCTGGGTGCATGCTGTAACAGTAGAGTGTTGGTTTCCTGCAGCCCTCTGGTAAGCCCAGCTGGTTTCCAAAACCAGCCAAGGAGGCGCAACTTCCTGGTGCTGGACCCCTGGGCTAAGGTGTCCAATGTGGGGCTGAAACCCCTGCTCCTTAGGAAGGCTCCCCAAGCTTGCGACTTCGTCCTCCTCTTCCGGGTCACCCACCAGGGCTGTGGGACCCAACCAGATGGCTTCTCTTCCCTTCCTGTCTCACTGCGCTTTTTCTTTACAGCCTTCATTGTAGAGCAGCCGTTCTGCTAGTCTTCAGGTTGTTCTCAGAAAGAGTTGTTCTATATGCAGCTGTAGTTTTGGTGTGTTCATGGAAGCAGGTGAGCTCAAGGTCTACTCTGCAACTTGACACTGCTTCCCCAAATGCCAAATTGTTTTTGCTGTGTGGTTGTACTTACTTATACTTCCCCTAACAGTGTATAAAAAACTCCTGTGGGTTTATATCCTTGCCAATACTTGTTATTTGTCAGACTTCTTTACTTTTTGACAGTCGGATTGTGGTCTTAATTTCTACTTCTCCAAATGAAAATGATGTTGAAGATCTTTTCATATGTGTATTGGGCATATGAACTTTCCTTTGAAATGCCTGCTCATGATTTGTGCCTACTTTTCCATTGGACTGTTTGGGTTCTACTCACTGATTTGTAGAAGTTACTTGTATATCATTGATATTAGTCCACTGTCAGTAGCATTTGCTGTGGTTTAATCACTAAGTCATATCCACCTCTTTTGTGGTCTCATTATCTGTAGCCCACCAGGCTCCTCTGTCCATGGGATTTCCCAGTCAAGAATACTGGAGTGGGTTGCCATTTCCTTCTCCAGTCAGTAGCATATGATGAAAATATTTCCTCCTAGTTTATAATTTACCTTTTCAGTTTCTTTTTGGTGCTTTTTAATTAATAAAGTTAATCTTTATTTATTAAAATTTATAAACCTTATTATAGTCAATTCTTTTTAAAAACTAGTCAGAAAAAATTCTTTCCTAGCCCCAGGTCTAAAGAGTGTTCATGTTTTGTCTTTGAATTTTTCCATATGTTATGAAGAAGGAATCCAACTTCATCTTTTCCCATATGGATAACACTTTCTCTTCTCCTGTTAATCAAACTGTCCCTCCTTTCTCCATTATCTGTCATGCCACTTTGAACATATACCAAACTTCCATAAGCATGTTTTGCTTATCTTCGCACCATGTCAAACAGTTTTAATTACCATAATTTCATATGAAATTCTGCTGCTTAGTAATAAGGTAAATTCCCTCCTCCTGCTATTGATCTTTTTTTTTTAATGCATAGTAGATTTATTCATACCTGGACACGTGGCTATCATGTTTACCAACACAAATGTCCAGCAACAACAGGTGAATGAATAAGCAAATATACAGGAGCTTCAAGATTGGTGAAGATGTGGAAAGGATGGCGCAAAGCACTCTGATGTGCCCTTTCCCACACGCCTTGCCCTATGCATCCCTGCCACATGGTTGTTACTTAGGTAACATCACAATAATGAGACAAACTGGCACCATGTGCCTCCTGATGAGATACATGGACAAGGACACAGTATCACTAATGTTATATTCCTGACAAAAATGCATAAACTAAAATTAATTTTGAAAAAAATCAGGTAAGTCCAAATTCACAGACACAAAATCAATCTACCATAGTCACCAAAAACACCAATGTCACGAAAGACAAAGGCTGAAGAACCATTCCAGATTAAAGGAGACTAAAGAGAAATAAAAACTAAAGATAAGTATGATTCTTAATTCCATCCTGAACAAGAAAAAAAATGCTATAAGATACATTAAAGAGATAATTAGAACAATTTGAATCAGAGATATGGAGTAGACAACAGTATTATACCAATGTTACTTTTCTTTGATTCTGAAATTTTTACTGCGACTGTGTAGAGGAATGTTCTCATTCTTAGAATATAACACTGAAATGTTTGAAGGAAAAGGTGCATGAGGTCTGCAACAGACTCTCAAATGGAAAAGAAAAAAACTACAACAATGTAAAATTATATTCAAATTACACATATATAACTGCACATATAGAGAAAAAAAATTAGACGTAAATGAGAAAGAAAAAAAAAATAGAGGTAAAGTAAATATGCTGTTCAGTCCCTATGAGTTGTTATGTACCACTCTTTGTGATCCCATGGACTACAGCATGCCAAGCTTCCCTGTCCTTCACCATCTTCCAGAGCTTGCTGAAATTCAGGATCATTAAGTCAGTGATGACCTCCAACCATCTCATCCTGTCATCTCCTTCTCCTCCTGCCCTTAATCTTTTCCAACGAGTCAGCCCTTCCCATCAGGTGAACAAAGTACTGGAGTTTCAGCTTCAGTATCAGTCCTTCCAATGAATATTCAGGCTTGATTGACTGATTTGATCTCCTTGCAGTCCAAGGGATACTCAAAAGTCTTCTCCAACACCACAGTTCGAAGGCAGCAATTCTTCGGTACTCAGATTTCTTTACAGTCCAACTATCACACCGTACATGACTAATGGAAAAACCATAGCTTTGACTAGATGGACTTTTTTGGCAAAGTAATGTCTTTGCTTTTTAATACGCTGTCTAGGCTGTCATAGTTTTTCTTACAAGGAGCAAGCGACTTTTGATTTCATGGCTGCAGTCACCATCTGCAGTGATTTTGGAGCCCAAGTAAATAAAGTCTGTCACTGTTTCCATTGTTTCCCATAAAGTGATGGGACCAGATGCCATGATCTTTGTTTTTTCAATGCTGAGTTTTAAACCAGTTTTTTCACTCTCCGCTTTCACCTTCTTCAAGAGGCTCTTTAGCTCCTCTTCGCTTTCTGCCAGAAGGGTGGTGTCATCTGCATATCTTTCTTACAGAGAAAATAGATGGGCTTCTTTCAGGGAAAGAATTAAAAAAAAAAAAAAAAAAAAAAACCCACAGTACTAGATAAAGGCAAAGCAACGTAACTGGTTCCCAAACACGGTCAGACAATCTGCTTCTCTATACCCCTTTCCCTGGTAGCTTGGTTTATGTTTCAGCCAGAAAACTGAATTGCTTCTGAGTGCTTCCGTGGGAAACTGCAGTCACTCAAGGCTACTGCCCATTTCAACCTGACGTGAAGGCTCGGGTCCCAAAGCTGCCATGCGTTCTGTCCTACTCTTCCCGACCTCCGTCCCAGGTTCGGATCATGGCTCCACCTTGGCTTCGGGCCTGGCCCAGACCCGGTCCTCTCGCCGCGGAAGGAGTCTCCCCAGTGCAGATGCTCGGTGAGGCAGGCAAGGGCGCATCTCCCCGAGGCCAGGTGTGGGGAGGAGCGCGGGCAGAAGCAGCTGTCTGGCCGCAGCAGTGTTACCCCGGGCACCCCGAGGCTGGGCGGGCGGCTGGCCAGGAGGAGCAGGTAGCGGAAAGGCGAGCCCTCTGGCCCTGAGCGAGCCGGCCTGACACTGTCCACGCATCACCCTCCTCCTTCCTCGGCTCCCCCTGCGATGCCAACGGGCCCGGGAGGAGGGGGCTCCCCAGCTCGACGGCAGAGACGCGCCAGCGCCCGGCGTGCCCCCGGCCGAGGAGGCGGCTCCCTCCCGCCCCGCACCTGACCTGTCCGCTCGCCTGACGCCCCAGCCGGCCGAGGCGGCTGCCGGGCGGCCTGGGGGTGTCCATGCGGCTGGGCCGGGTCGGGCCGGAGCGGAGGGGACGCCAGAGCGGAAGGCACGCCCAGGAGAGCCAGGCAGGCCTGCGGAGCCCGAGCCGCGGAGCGGAGCCGGGCAAAGGGAGTGAGACCGAGTCGCCGGTTACCTGCGGTCCCCTGCTATTGATCTTTAAAAATGTCCTGGTTATCTCATTATTCTTTCTTGTAGACATCATAATAAATGCATCAAATTCTACCAGGAATATTTTGTTGACATTTTGGGTGCAATTAAACCTATCCGTCGACTTGAGAGGGCTTCCCTGGTAGCTCAGACGGTAATGGATCTCCCTGCAATGCGGGAGGACCTGGGTTCAATCCCTGGATCAGGAGGAAGATCCCCTGGAGAAGGGAATGGCTACCATTCCAGTATTCTTGCCTGGAGAATTCCACGGACAGAGCAACCTGGCAGGCTACAACCCATTGGGCCCCAAAGAGTCGGACACAACTAAGCGACTAACACTTTCACTTTCATCAGTTTGAGAAGAACTTACATTTAACGATATGAAGCAGCCACCATTTTGGTGGTTAGGAATCCAAGGGTTGGGATTCAGAGGAAGCACAGCATTGACAGTTTCTCAGCTACCGTGACGTCTGGGGCCTCAGGTGGGAAGATGGAAAGGCTGAAGGGGGATGCAGTGGCTAGGTGCAGGACTCACATGAAGGCTCTTTATTCACATGACTGACTGGCTGCTGAAGCCGGCCATCTGCAGGAAACTCAGTCGCTATCATTCAGAACACCCATTTGTGGGAATAATTTCAAGGGAATATCACTCCTTGATATCCACAAGGTATTGGCTCTAGAACCCACACAGACACCAGAATCTGCTGATACACATATAAGATGGGGTAGTATTTCTGTATAACCTATGGACATCCCCCCTCTCACTTTAAACCAACTCTAGATTACCCAGGACACCTAATACAATGTGGAAGTGAACTCTCTCAGTCATGTCCGACTCTTTGCGACCCCATGGACTGTAGCCACCCATGGGATTTTCCAGGCAAGAGTACTGGAGTGGGTTGCCACTTCCTTCTCCAGGAGATCTTCCCGACCCAGGGATCGAACCCGGGTCTCCCCCGTTGCAGACAGGCGCTTTACCGTCTGAGCCACCAAGGAAGCCTGTAAATACAATGTAAATCGCTGCTGATGTGTGGCAAGTCTAGGTCTGCTTTGGGGATTTTCTGGTATTTTTTCCCTAGTATTTTTACTCCACAGTTGGTTGAATCCAAGAGTGCAGAACTGTGGATACGGCTGGCCAACTATACGTCTACTGTTCCTCCCTTTAGAATGATGATGCTCTATGTTTTTTAAATATACTCCTTATGGTTTTAACGTATTGCCTTCTACTTCTGATTCACTAGGAGAGTCTGCCATTAAGTAGAATATTATCAAGTACTTTATCTACATCTTATCAGCGAAGAGAAGCATATAGATGTCTTTTTTTTTTTAATATACCATCTACTTGATGCTAGTAATACTGATTAGGATTTTTGTCTCTCTATTCATGAGATAAGAGGGCCTATACTTTTCCATTTTCATATTTTCCTGGTTTGGTTTAGGTATCAGTTATACTGGCTTGATAGAAT